TTTCGTGCATGATGTCAACTGATGCATCGGCTATTTATCATACTATTTACACTATTCTTGCTGGTGGGGTATTCCCACCGTTGATTATGTTAATATGTACGAGAGTTCTCTGGAAAAGTTTACAAGCAAAACGACAACGTCAAGAGTTAACTCAGATAAGACAAAAGAAGAGAGAAATTCGTGATGTACAAATCTTGGCTATGTTGGTGTTACAAGTGTTCATCTTTATTCTGTTTACTCTACCGTATATGATGTTTAACCTGTACTTAGCTTTTACTCGTTCTGTTACGAACAAATCGGCAGATCGATTAGCAATCGAAGCGTTTTTGCAGTTATTTACAGAAATAACAGTGTTTGTTCATCCAAGTGTCACATTCTATTCCAATACATTAGTTTCACAAACATTTCGAAATGAATTATTCATTTTTGTTCGGAAAATTCTAACGTGTGGTCATGATCAGCAGCTTCGCCATAGACGAAGAATTCATCCAAGTGCTTCTGTGAGGGCAGGAACATGTAGACAGACTCATTTACCGAGGATTCTAATAAATCAAGGTTGACGGATAGATTTGGAATGTTGATGCTATACGTGCAGAAATGCTACAACATTTTATGTAGATCGCTCGCACTCATCAGTAGTATTTACTATGTGGATTTGAAAAAATAACGAATAAAGATTGATACAGAAGAAAATATGTACTCAGCGTTCGGATAGACTAAACACTGTTTCCATTAAGGGCTTAGTCGTCGACCCTTATAAGTTCTTGGTTAGTTCTACAACTACGTCATTATTAAACGTACTGTTCCATATAGTGCAAGTGTCATCAATCGTAGAATAAGATTCAATGGAAAATACATTATTCCAATCATCGCCGAATTGTCACTTTGGACATGTCAGACACGAATCCAGTTATTTCAGTTCACTCGTTGGCTATTCTGTTCATTAAGAAAAATCTGTAATATGTTTCCACAATGATCCTAAATGCCTTTAGTCTGAGATTTGTATGACTAAAGTACATTTTACATTTTACATTTCACACATTTCTCTACTAAACTACTGATATTTATGGCAATTTACTATATATTTTTAATAATAGTAATAATTTTGACTAACAAATATCCGCTCCTTCAATCTTCCAGTAGAATTCGCTTTAAAAGGAAATGTCCAGTTTGAGTCCAAAAGTTAATTCAAGATTTGAACAAATCACCCCATTAAATTAATCCATGAGCAAGACATGGTTATAGGTGGACACACTGTATTCGTGTCTAGGTATAGTTATTAACGCATGTATGAGTTATGACTGTTTCATTTAGATTTCAATGCGCACGAAGAATCAAATATTTTAATGTGCACGAGTGTAACACTACTGGAAGAGAATGTTCTTGTCTCTTGATGACATTCCCTATGTTTTTCAGTGAACTAGAATGCGTATACATATATATTCGTTGAAATATGCTCAGCGACATGGAAGATCATGTTTTAAAAGTTTGGTTTTGGTTGAATGATCGAGTTACATTTCTTTCATCATTTCAAAGCGGAGATTTCTTTTAGAACTTTTAATTGGAGAATCTGTTTTCATTGTTAGAAAACTGATAGAAGATCGTTCCATCTAGTGAAAGTATTGCATTCTCTCATTCGAATGGCTTCAACTCTAGTTGCCTCGTTCACTTTTGCTCAAACTATTCTTGTTCAATACGTTGCAACAATTTTATTCGTCTTCGGTACAATCGGTTCCATTCTCAATATTCTCCTGTTTTCTCAACAGAAATTTCGTTCAAACTCTTGTTCCATTTGTAAGTCAGCACAATTCTTTTTTAAACTCATTAATTTTCTTTCCATTTCGAAAGATTTTCTTGCGTCATCGATCGCAACATTGATCTTACTATTCCCAGGTGTTATTCCTCAAGTCTATGCTCTCACTAACACTCCAAATCCAGTATTTAATCAAGGATTCTGCAGAGCTCGCGGTTATTTAACACAAATGAGTGCGATGCTCTGTCAATGGTTGTTAACGGTCGCATGTATTGATCGTTGCTTATTAACTTCCACGAATCCTCGTCTTCGTCATCTGGCGACTGCGCCAATAGCACTGAAAATAGTTTTACTACTATTTATAATGTGGCTTCTCATTCCTATTCATATATTGATCTTCGCTGATGCTCGCAGAATCGGCTATATTTCGTGCATGATGTCAACTGATGCATCGGCTATTTATCATACTATTTACACTATTCTTGCTGGTGGGGTATTCCCACCGTTGATTATGTTAATATGTACGAGAGTTCTCTGGAAAAGTTTGCAAGCAAAACGACAACGTCAAAAGTTAACTCAGATAAGACAAAAGAAGAGAGAAATTCGTGATGTACAAATCTTGGCTATGTTG